GCCGCTAAGAGAAGACTGGAAAAATGGGGGTATATCGCGCAAGAAAAAACTCTGGCTCAACAAATAGCAGAAGAAAAGAAAAAAAAAGCAACAACCCAGATGTGTGTCGAAATATCAACAAATATTCGCTCGCTGAACTCTCTTCGAAGAAATGTCGATGGGCAAGAGTGAATGCCGACAAAGCAAAAAAAACAAAAAGTGTATCGAACCAGTCGTCGATGGTTGGTCGCTTCCGGTGAAAAGGAATAATAATAGACACTAGGCCGCCGGTGTAAAGTGTTTTGGCGAAGAAGATCGAACAAAAAAAGTATGTACAAGTTCAGCTGACGAGTCATTAGGCGCTTTGTATCTGGCGGATTAGGGTCGTCTTCGTCGGCTTTAAAAGAAGGGGGTGAAAGTCGTATCTGTTCAATCGAATCGAAAGGAGAAAAAAAAAAGAGGGTCGCTTGTTGAGCGAAAAGAAACATGTCGTCGAAAGGACGGCTTTAAAGCAAGGCAGCAGCAGCAACAATGGCGACGACAAGGCCGGCAATGGCGCTTCCGCCGTGGTCGGCAGCACCCCCTTCGTTGCTTGGGGAAGTTGAAGCAGCAGCAGCAGCGGCGGCGGCGGCGGCTCTGGAATCGGCTCCGTCGGCTTCGGTGGTGGTGACGGTCTCGGCAGTGGCGGTCGGTTCGATGTCGGAGTAGGTCTTGGTTTTACCAACGGCTGTGCTTTCCAGGAAGATACCACCCATAAAGTAGGGGTCCGAGGTGGACTCGGAGGACCATGACTTGGAGGTTGTTGGGTTGACCTTCTTGATGGAGAAGGCGGCCTCGGTGGTGCTGCTTGGAGGAGCGGCGGTCGTCTTGGGGACCTTGGCGACGGTGGTTGGCTCTGGCTTGGGGGTTGGCTTTGGCTCCTCCTTGGGCTTGGGCTTGGGTTCCTCCTTGGGCTTGGGCTTCTCGCCAGTCGAGCCGTCGGTGTTAAAGACGACAATGTTGGCGGTCTTGCCCTTGGGGACGGTCACGACGCAGAAGTTGGCGCCGCCATCGACGCTGGCGGTGTTGGGGCTTTCCACACCACCCACTCCGCTCTTGGTGGGATCGATGACGCAGGGGAGACCGTTGCAACCGCCGTCGGGGCATTCGATCTTGAGGCCGTAGGTGGGCGTGTTCTTGGAGTTGTCGGTGGTCATGTACTCGGGGTTCCAGGCGATCTTGACAAAAGTTTCTCCGCTGCTCTGGGTGTTGGCGCCGGCGACGTAAGGACTCCAGTTGCCGATCGCCTCGGTGATCTTGCCCCACACGCAACCCCTGGAGGCATCGACTCCTGGGGGGTTTACATAATAACTTTATCCGGGATTAGCATCACGATGAGGCAGAGATCGGCTGGATTTGGAGCAACTCACTGAGCGGCGGTTTGGGCCCAGTACGAGGCATCTGGGACGGAAAGGGTCATGGTGTCGGAGACATCTGTTGGGATGATCATGGCTTCGTTGCCGGGAAGAACGGTCTGGCAAAAAGACACGACCTTGCCGCACTTGTTGACGGCCTTGACGGCGCCAGTGCCATCAACGCAGTATGGCTTCTCCCTGAATGGCTTCATGGGCTTGCCGCCATCACAGTACAGACCGCCATACTAGGGGATGTCAGCCACCAACCCGGTACACGCTACGAAGCCAGCATCAGACCACTCACCATGGATTCCGGATAGGTATATTTTGTGTTTGGCTTCCACTGGGCCATAACCTTTCCGGACCTGCAAGCAATCGGGCACCACTTTCCGTCCTCGCAAGGCTCATCAGGGCTCATGGCAAAGCCGTTGTTAACGTCACCGGGAACGCGCACGAGGTCGGGATCATTTGGCAAGGAGCATGGGGCCTTTCTCGCAGCGATTCTGGAGGCACCAATGACCTCTCCGGCCATGTGGCTGTGGTGGTTCTGCCTCCTGGCATATCTCTCGTGTGCGTGACGGTGGCCGCCGTGGACGTGGCCTGCAAGAGCGGGTTGGGCCGCGAAGAGAAACGAGGCCGAGCCGATGACGGCCTGAAGCGTAGTTGTGAGCTTCATGGTTGTGGTGTGTTTGGTTGAAAGAGTTGAAGATCTGAAGTCGTGTGTTCGTGGCGTCTCTCAGACGACACAAGGTTGACCCGAGTTGCGGTGTTGCCCCTGGGAGGGCTTCGTCTCCACCGCTCCTTGTTTTTCAAACTGTGGGCTGTTTTATATGGTCGCAGATATCTCTGTCAGCGGCGCATAGCAGAAAAGAGTGTGAGGCCAGGCCGAGATGGTAGCGAATGTGTTTGACTGGCGACCGACCTTGTCGTTGTCGTTGTCGTCGTCGTCGTCGTCGATATCGAGATCGAAAAGATTGACAAGGGGCCGGGAAAAGGAAAGAGGGAAAAGAGAGACGAAAAAAAGGAGAGGACGTTCTGGATGCAGAACGAGAATGTGGATGCGGCCCTGTGTGTGCAAGGTTGTGCAAGGTTGAGGACTGAGAAGAGGTGAGAGAGATGTCCACAATGGAGTTGGGGGAGGAGTTTGTGTCTCCACGTTTTTCTGGGGGGGATGGGAGCGGTTCTCGATAGCCTCAAGGACGGCCCAATCAGGAGACATGTTTGATCCGGTTCCTGGTGTGTTCCTGGTGTGGCTCATCTCGGCAGTAAGGGTAATGTCGCAGGGGTTGCTGTCAGGAACAGCACGTGTTGGCCAATGGGAGCCGCAGCTGAGGAGATTGAGTGCGCTAGGCCCAGAGCGGGAACCAGGATGAAATGAGCTTTTTGCACGGGCGAGCTTCCGTGCCTGACAGCAGATCGAATCAAACTGGAGAATCGAGAAAGAAATCCCTGTTCAGGCTCGATTCCGGAGACATGTTTTTTTCTTTCATCTCATTTCATCCCGCCTTTTTGGAGACTCTCTTTTTTTCTTTCCTTTTTTTTTCTTTTTTCTTTTTTTTCTCTCTCTCTTCTGTTGTGTGCTTCCGGCTGGGGAAAATCCACTTTGGAGTCGGCCGTTAACGATGTGTTGGCGGTGTGGTGGCTCAGGGGAGATTGGGAGGTGTCGAGCCCAATTCCCTCGTCAACCGTGCGGCGGCATGACGCAAGGCCGTTTTGTTTTTTTTTCCCGATCGGTGTTGTCAAAGGAATCTTTCTTTTTTCTTTTTTTTCTTCTCTTTTTCCTTCTTTTTCTTTCTTTTTTCTATTCTTTTTTTTTTTTTTTCTTTTTTGGGTTTTGTGTTTGGCAAGAGATATTCTTGGGTTGATGGGCAGCAAACAGGTGTTGTGCCGCGAAACGACATGTGGAAACATGGAAACCAACCATCAGCATCATGGAGGGTAGAGATCGGACAAGGCTTCAGTTTGAGCGGTCAGCTCACAGTATGGATTACTGCTCAGACCAGTGTCTAAGCGGTGAACTGTTCTTTCTCCTCGAGCTTGTTGATCTTCATCATTTCCCGTCTTTTACTGACTGACTCGGTCTTGCTCAGTGCTTCGCTGAAAAGGGAGGGCAACCCGTTCTTTCGTCGGTTCTTCGGGCCTATCGTGTTTGGAGATGTGTTGTGTTGTTATGAGTAAGCAACAGTGTGCGGATATATGCCTTGCATGGAAATGCATATTGGGCAGCTTTACAGCCGGGTGGCAGAGCTGGTGTTATTGGTGCTGGTATATGTTGTGCGAGTACCTTGTGGTATGGGGTGATTTTTTTTGGGAGGCGGTCTGAATCTGCTCTACGCCTCTCTGGTCTTGACCTTTTTGTGAAAGTCATTTTCATGTGAGGTGTTGAGTTCACTTGCATAGAGTCATGTGCTTGAAAGTACTGGGCAGAGGCAAGTCTTGAGCATGGAACCAGTAATTGGTATCTGAAAAAATTCTTTTTGGAGTTGGACAACAGGTCAAATTGTAGTTACCGGTACACGGCTGCAAGAACAAAGGATAGCAGCAATCGATCAGAGACCACGGGATGATTGGATGCCATGTGTTGTGAGAATACCAACAATCTGAACCCCTCCTTGCGCTCTTGAGGTTGTGTTCTCTGCCTCCCCAACTGCGAGAATCCGGTGATTCCAATCGCGTAGACCAGAATCGGTGTCATTCCCAGTACTAGGACCAGCCTACCGTCCATCATGATCTGTGGTTGATCTGGTGCTGATACCTTCAGGTCCTCAAATGGGCCCCGTTAACAGCATGCTCACTGTTTTGCCTCGGAAAAACAACCCTATCATCAGGGGTGCTGAAATTCTCGGTATCGGGTCCATGAAGACCATGGAAAACGCCGCCATATGGCGCAACAGCTCCTCTCGAGGGTTGGTCAGTCATTAGCATGTGTCCTTCTCAGACTGAAGGTACCTACAAAGTAGAACACGATCAGCTGGTGTCCGAGGTAAAATTGTGACAGAAAACACATCATGAAGCGACACTTGGGGCCTGATTCCTGTCATGAGACTGATAGCCCCGCATGGCTTGAGCTTGAAGACAGTCGCTACGGCCATCCTTGGTATAAGTGCGGTTACTCACGTGTTTCTCACGTGCGCAGCGCCACAAAACAGCAAACTCACAGCCAACATGGCACGGACCACATAGCTTCCAGATGGGTGGATTACGTCGTCCAACTTGCAACTTGCATCTTCCACTCAGCTTCAGCAACACTTTATGAATTATCCAAAGGTACAGTAATAGGAAGATGGCGAGTTCGGCGGCTAAGGACGATACGAACGCCGACTACTGGCCCATCAGCATTGCCCGCAGTGATGGTCAGAGTTACCAAGACCTGGACCAGAAGCCCCTTGATATGGGCGAAGACCAGGACGTAACACAACTTGAACGATGGCAAGTGATCATTGGAGGACATCTTGGGATGCAGCTTGCGCCGAAAGATGACAGTAAGCTCCCTTTGCGTGTTGGTGGGAGCAGGAGATGCTGATGCCTACCTTACACAGAACGCCAATTCATACTTTCGGCATTTCCAAAGGGGTACGAGTTGCGAGTAGCTATCAGAAAAGACGGGGCCAGGGATTATTACTTGTATGGACACCCAGCAGGTGCAAAGTCCCTCTACCGCACCCCGGGCGAGTTTGCCAGTCACGCTTTATGGCTCGCCAGCGATTCACGAGACCCCAGCCAGTGCCCTTGCGATCTTTGTGCCAGATATGTCGAGGCTCAGCAGAAAAAACGACCAGACGCTATCGCGGCGTGGGAAGCCAACCCTGCCACCGGCTCGGCAGCGGTGCAAAACTCAACACCTCCTCGCTCACAAGCGGTATCTGTCCACCCCGAACAGCAACAAACGCAACAGGTTCCAGCACAGCCACCACGGATACCAATGCCCCCGGGCACGACTGGGCTTTCTAATGTCTTCCGTGTTGGGGAGATGGTCTGGTACAGGTTCACCGCCTGGCGGCTAGGCATCGTTTTCGCCATCACTCTTCGACCAGGCGCACAGCCTGGTGCACTAGATACTAGCTACGAGTTTCAAATCGCGCCCCTGGGCCACGCGACGCTTCAGCAAGACGTCGTTGTCAAGGACGCCTCGACCATGCGCCCGTTCCTCACGTTTAGTGTGCCAGACTCTCCGGCCCATCTCAGAGGCAAACCCTTCGACGAGGTCGATTGGCTGGCCCTCAGCGAAAACGAACGTCGCGGCAAAGACGCTGCCCAACAGCAACAGGCGCTGCAAACCGTGGGTCTCGAGGCGTCCAAACTCGCAGCCAGGAGCATCAACGACTGCTTCTCCTTCTTCAATAAGATCCACGACGCGCCCACGGACGATAATCTCTTCCGCCTGAAGTGTTTTCAGGGAGTATACTTTGGCGCCGAGATGATCATGGTTAACGACCCCATCAGGGTCCAGCTCGGACTGCCGGCAGACGGCTCCCAGCAGCAACCAGCTGATGCTTCTGTTCCGGCGGTTGGCATCATGCATGTGGAGCAGATTCAGTATCTCATCCCGACGGGGCAGCAGAACTCCAAACCGGTGTTGCGATTTCAGGGAAAGCTCATCCGTCCGGTTCGCGCCCCGGCTGGCGTCCCGCCGCCGGGTGCTGCACCGCCCGACACGCTGGGCCCGGTGTGTGCTGAGGAGATTGCGGGGAGGAACGCATTTGAGAAGAACAAGTCGATGGCGTGGTACTGGGTGGTGCTTTCGCTGAAGACGCTTCAGCCCGCTGCTACAGAGGAGGACCGGCAGTTTACGACGACGACGAAGCTGGAGGGAGATGTGCTTGGCAGGTTTTATGTCTCGACAAAGATCATGAGTTTGGTCAATGCGGATCTGTGCAAACAGTGGGTTGAGAGGGGGCAGGTGGATGAGCCGCCGAGCTACTTGAACAATCGGGGGGCGAGCGGTAATCTGGGGTCGATCCAGAAGCGCGTGACGAGGAAGCAGACGTTTGGGTTGGCAGTTCATGGGGAGTTTAAGCTGAGTAGGGGATTGATGGAGGAGACACAATGAGGGTTGAGAAAAAAAAAGAAGACGTCGTCAATTGGGCATGAGGAAATGGACGGCGTTGAGGGTGAAACAAGCGTATCGGTATGGTCGTTTTGCTATCGTTAGCGTTTTGACGGTTTTCTTTGGTTTGATGGAGTTACTGCACTCGTAATGAGCAGATATTAATCTCGGGATTGCCTTGTGTTTTGAGCCACAAGAGAATGCATTTGCTTCGCGAGGTTGCAAGGTCAGCGAGGTAAGTGCCCGCAGCTTTCAGCAGGCACAAGATCTGTTCATATCATGCCCATTTGTGACCTGCTTGATGGTAAAGAGGCCCTTTTCTGAGAAGCATGACACGCCAACCGCGCTTGTTGTCCGTCTCTCAAGCTCCTCCGGCTCAATTTGTCTCGTAGGGTCCATCGATCGTATGAGTTGAGAGACCTGATCACAACCAGTTGTCGCACTGGCCAATGCCGAACAAGGCATCGAGACAGCTGTAGCCCCTGATACCGATGTTCTAGGCTCAGCTCACCACGTCACTGAGGCTTCCCAATAGAGTATCATCGGACAACGAAAATGCAGGCAGGGCTGAAGACAGATGCGACAGTAACAGCCTGACAGGCAGAGACCACCACAAAGACTTCAGCCAGCCACCATCGTTCCCAGCTTCCAAGTCCAGATCCTCTCCCTCTATGTCGACCACAGACAGCAAAGCTCACCAACCTCACCAACACCAGCCGAAGACGTTTCCCTCACAGCCAACTTGATGACTCTTGCCCAACCATGACCAGCCAAACAACTCACATTTCGCCACCCCCTTCACCTACCATCTATCTCATCACTTTTTTTCTTCTTTTTTTTTCTTCCAAATCCCCCCCCCCCCAATCTGTGACATGACTCCCTTTCACCTCCGTGAATCACCACCCTCACTACTGCAGCAGGACGCACAGACCCCCCCCTTCTCTCTCACACACACCTTTTTACCCAGCATAAGAATTAGCCTGACTGCCAACGTAGCAGCACTCTTGCATTTTACCCCTCTTATACAGTACTCCATGTCATCAGGAAATCAGAGCCCTGTGAGCAACAACTGCACCCAGATTCAGCGCTAAGCATTAAAACATCCCCTCCGTTTCCTTAGTGCAAAGTGTTGGTCAAAACGGGGAGGGGAAAGGAAACCATCTGGTACCGAGCAAACCAACAGCAACAACCATTCGCTGTTAACCTAAGGTAACCACCATCCATCCATCACCCCGCAGTTTCGGGAAGATCTGACATTTTGCTCCTCCCGACTGAAATGGTAAGAAGCGAAAGAACGTGGAGACTGTCTGGAGGGGAAGCTTTGTAGATGCTGGTGGATTGATGGTTCGGAGATCAAAACATTTTAGTTTTGCTGTTGTCGGACTCATCAATTTCCGACAGACTCGGAACTTTGAAGAGGACTGGATCCGGCCAGCCGGGTCGGCTGGGGAAGTTGGGGTGGAGGATTGAACACAAAAGTTTGATTAACGAAAAGTCATCGGTGGGGTTTTACTGAGGGCACTGATATCCATCGCTCTTGTTGATAAAATCATTAGTTCAATATCATTGACTCCTCAAAAGAACTTCGACTCTCTGACTTTGTTGTGTCGAAAAGAGACACAATAACTTTCGTGATGACCTCTTTTTCGATCACCCGGCGTGCACTGCGTACGCAGGATGCCCAAAGCAAAACCACCATACCTAGGCACAGCTCGCAAGCCTAACCACAGCCCCCCCCAACTCCCATGTCTAGAACCCCTGGGCATAACAACCCAGCCATCTGAACCCAGCACCCGTGCGCATAAAACACCAAAGCACCTTTTTCCCCCCAAGCCCCCCAAGCGAAACCGAAATCTTGGTAAACCTCCTTCCCAAGACTTCCCAAGAAAGAACTTTGCAACGTGGAGCTCCCCAAATCGTGAGGCTAAACACCAACAGGCAAGGTGTATCGCTGTGAATACACCATGTTTCGCAAATGCAAACGCACAGGTAATTATGCTGCTACTCTGTTGGGTGGCATCCATACGTAGCACCGTTGGTTCCCGATCGGGAATCTTGAAGGGAAGGAAGGGTTGGGGGGTGGTCTAGATCTCGATATTTTGACAGTTCCGGCTGTAGGGGCAGCAGCGTGATGGGTATAGCGACCCCGACTTCTTTTGCTGCTAGGTACTGCTGCAGAAGATATCACAGTGTTGAACACGATGGTAAGTGGTGATGATGATGATGGTCGGAGAGAGGGGGGCCGGTTTTGAAAGAAGGAAGGTTTGGATTGGTGTTTGTCAACACCCTTCAACGTTCCGAACAGGCTGGGCTGGCGGTTAGGTTGCACAATGACGACCCCTCCAGAAAAACGCGCCACAGATTTCACTTACCGCCCACCATGTTGGTACACAGATCTGGCCGCGACCCTTCGGCTGGATTTTTACCTCGAGCTGTTTGGTCCCGCCCCTCAAGAGTTGGGATCGCCTGATACCTACCTCACAGCAAATGCAGGCTTGGTTGGCTGGCATGATGGTCCTCAGCTAGCCAGCCAGGCATAAACACGGCTCGTGACCGAGCATCCAAACTGGCAGTTGGGCGGTCGTTGGCTCCGTGACGTGACGGGAAAGGATCGGGAGGGATGGATGACGGGCAGGAAAGCTAGCTAGGGCAAAGAAAAACGGGAGGGAAAGGAAGGAAGGAAGGAAAGGCTGTGTGAGACAGCGCTTGTGGAGGACGTGAACCTGTCGGATGGGAGCGCGACCCTCCCTTTCCGTGCTGGCGGGTTCGTGAACGCTGGTGATATGTTGAAGAGGTGGTTTTAATGCAGCGAGTTTCATTGTTCTCTTGGTGCTGAAAAGCCATTTTTGTGCATCGACGAAGTAATGGGTTTGGTAACTTGGCAAAAGGTATCACTTTGTCCTTCAAAGACTTCCCCATCCCCTCAGTCCCTTTCATCATATCGCGTATCCGCCTCCCAAAACCCATCTCTCTGATTAATCCCCGATCCATGGAAAAAGCTTGGAGGAACCCAAACCCTCGGGTTCGCACCCGCCTACCCAACATCAAATTCTCAGGAGAAGATCGTCCCCCTCCCTTACCTTCCAACCCCCGTTGACCCCCAGCCAACCCCATACCCAACAACTAAACCGCCAGACCCCTCGTATCGTGGCCCTTACCCAACCAAGCCCCAAAAGCCTAAAAAAAAGAAAATAAAAAGAAAAAAGAGGGGAAAAAAAAGAAGAAAAAACTTGTCTCATTTCTTTCTTCTTTGTCGCTTGGACAAAAAAACAAAAATCCCGACAATCCGTCCACTCCTCGGCGCCCCCGCTCCGCCCCGCCAAACCGGTTCACCGGTTCTGTCTGTCCCCCCTTTCTTTATGCGCATTAACCGCTTTGCTGGTAAACAGTGGGGAATGAGAAAAAAACCCAACCACATGTCCCATGATGAACTTGCTGACCGCTTTACCACTCTGTCGGTACATGATAGGTACACCAAAACTCGGTGGTGGTATCAAGTCTTATTGGACGGCTTAAGACAGACCACTCAGATTTGAGAAAGAGGAGGGCGGGGGGCTTTGGCCACAATGGTACACGAAACCCGCCTTTCGGCGATTGGGGAAAAAATCAAAATCAAAAAGCATCGGAGATAGATCATTCACACAAAGAACAAGGACGAGGGAAAACAAAGCGTGTGTCAAACGGGGCATAATGCCTGCCCGTATAAAACGTATGTATGTAAATTTCGCTCAAAATATGTGTGTGTATGTGTGTGTGTGTGTGTGTGTGTGTGTGTGTCTGTCTGTCTGTCTGTCTGTCTGTCTGTCTGTCTGTCTGTGTAGGGTGTTCCTAGGGAGCATTTCGTGAAATTTGTGGGTGCGAGGTGTGCGTTCATGTTGTGTGTGATTGAGTGTCTTGACTGAAATCACCCCCTCCTTTCCCTACCCCTCCCTCAACAACCTTTGGTGCTGACAGGCTGCAAACGTAATCGGTACCGTGGTCCGCAATGTAACCGAGTTGGATGACCCACGCCGTGATCATGCATCAAGCTCCCCCCATAACACCGGCTGCCCTATATTGAAACCTCCAAATCCTCCAAATCCTCCGCTTTCCGACTTCGGCGCATTTCCAGATGCACAGCGATCCCTTGGTCCTGGTTGTGTTCTCCTTCCTTGCCACACCCTCCTTTCTGCAGGAACAAGTTTATTCGAGAAGAGTCGGAATGCAGAATTTTGTGCCGTCTAAAATGCAGTGTCGTCGGCGTAAGAAAGTGATAGTCGTTGTCGTGCCCTGGGGGGTTGATTAAATGCATGCATCGAGTGTCGTTCGGGTACGTCTCTGACATGCCGTGTAGTGAGTGTGTCCGTGGGTGTGTTGTGATGGCCGAGGAAAGACGAAAAGTGAGAATCGATGGTGGAATCTCCGTAAATGCTGCTAAGAATGTTCGTGACAAATGGGGCTCATATTGAATGTGAAATGATCAAAAGAAAAAAAATGCACCGAGAAGGTGATCCAAAGAAAACGCGCCTACTCCGACTCGCCGCTCGTCAAGGCCCCTTTTGTAAATCTGATGGTTGGCGTCAAGAGATCCCAATGTTCTCCAGTCTGGCCGCCAGGCTTTTAACCACCTCTGGATCTGGTTCTGGTTGGACCTTCCGCGGTGTCAAGCGCTCCGTTTTTCTGCATGAACACTTGGGACAAACTTTGTCGTCCGAAGGCTCTTCAGAAAAGTTGTGCTTGCAGTCCAGGCACGTGTAATGACCGACCTTGGTACCAGGGGCGTCACCTGGGTAACCAAACGGATATTTGTCCTTTTTGGCTCTGTCGACTTGTTAGCATCGGAAAGCAGGAAAAGAAAAAGGTGAGCCACAACGTACGGGTCACGAGGGCAATCGGTACAGCGAGTGTGTTGGCAACACTCGCACGTCTTGGTACCGCCAGGGATCAGTTTCTGGCATTGACAGCAGGTTCTCCTGATGCGCTGCCTCTGCTTCTGGTAGATGCGATCCTGTCCTCCCGTCTTCGCAGGTCTCTTGAGAACGACCTTCTTAGCTGTCGTGTCCCAATCGGGGATGATGGGGGCGTTCGCCTCGCGCTCCTTGATGAGAGCCGCGCGCTTCTTGCGGCTTTCCTCCCTCTCGGCCTCGGTCCTCTTGGGAGGAACGCGTGGGCAAGTCTTGCAGCGAGGGTGCTTGCACTTGGGGCATTCCTTTCCGAGTCCGAAAGAGGTGTTGCACAGATGGCATCTCCTGTGCACGCGCATCTTGATCGGCTTCTCGACACGCAGGGCGTGTCCTTCAGTCGAGTGCCATTCGCTGGGCTTCAGCTCCAAACCATACAGCTCGCCGAGCTTCTTCGCCCTCTCAGCAAAGAGCTGAGACCTAGGAACCCTGATGGCATTGGGATCATCGGGCTTCTTGGCCGCCAGAGACTGGGCAGGAGGACTGCGTTTTCAATGTTAGCAACGCTGCTGCTACTGCCACTGGAATTGATGTGAACGCCTACCTGATGGGGATCAACTCCTCGGCAGGCTCATCGGCGGGTGCAGCAGGAGTGGCAGAGGAAGGTCCAGCAGCCTTGGAGCCGCCCAAGGTCGAAAGACGGCGTGACGGGTCGGCCTTCTTGAGAACAGTCTTCATCCTAGACAGAACCTTTCCAAGCCCCTTCTTGTCCTTCTCCTTTGGGATCGACGGTCCCCCTTGTGCTGGTGAACTCATGTTGGCGGTGGTGTGGTGGTACTGTGTCGTTGGTTTAAGTTGATATGTCGATCAGTTCGGATGACAGCTGGCTGTCAATTCGTTTAGTCTGAAGGTCGCGAAACTCAGTTCGGTCGAAATGATTTGCGAGGCTGGGTGAGGGTGGTGGTGGTGGTCCAGTTGGTTAGTTAAACAACCACTTGAATGGGAATCCCTCTCGACAACCCTGGTCGTTCGTCTCCCGTCGTTGTTTCTGACAAAACAGCTGCGGCGTGGATGCAGCGCGAGCGATGGATTGATGGGACAACTCCTGTCGTCCTCGGGGTCGTTGTTTTCGACACAGCAATGGCAGCAAGTCGAGTGCTGCGTGCCAATGCTCCGGTGCTCTGTCGAAAGGAAAGGGGAGAGAAGAGAGCAGAGCAGGAGACCGTGGAGCCGGGCAGGTTGGCTGGGGAGGGAGTGGGCTAAGAAGAGGAGAAAGCTGGGACGGTGGACTGTGGTTCGGAGCCACCAGCTCGGGCACAGTGGTGCAACAGGCTAGACTAGCTCCAGCAGAACCAGCAGATGGAAACGAGGGAGCGTGCAGCTAGCGCCGTACTGTCGACAGGACAGGCAAGGTCCACGCCAAATGTGGGAACATGGGGCTTGGAAGCACCAGAGCAGAGGACACCCGCTTATCAATAGCGTGAGAGAACCCCAGACACCTGATGGATGCGAACAAACCAGTTGGTATTTAGTGCACCGAGCAGTCTATTGCTTTGCCACTGGCTGGTCCCGATGCAATGGCTCGAGGATGGAGTGGCTCGAGAGGGGAACTGCTCCCTTTGCTGGGAGGAACTGGAACGGGACTTACAGAGCGGCACGCAAATGCTCACTCACATTTCCCAGGTGCTTGGGGCAGCGTGCAGCATTTGGCGGCCGGCCAGTCACCTCGCTTGCCTCTCCCTTGGAAGACCAAGAGACCGGGGTTGGTGCGGGGCAGACCCCCATGTCTTCGTCCAAACGGGATAATTGCCCGACTCCCAGAATTTTCAGGTGTGGAGCCCTCCCAACCCCCAGCAGCCACTCAGAACCAAGACATCAGACCCTGGCTTTAATCCAGGACAGCAACCGTTTCTTGTAGGTCCCTCCGTTTCCACTGGAAGTTTGACAACACACCACCAGCGGCACCTATCCAGTGCCTGGGCAATTGTGCAAGCACGACGTCGTCCAGCCTTCTGAAAGCTGCCGATCACCTCCGAGCCAAACTGACAAGTACCGATGATGAGTGATGCCGTGAGGAACGTTACGCGTCCCGACGACCACTGTCGTCGGCATTTGATCACGATATTTCCCAGTTTTGCGGCGTGAGAGGCCGGCCCTCTCCCCCGGACTGGGAGCGGTAATCTGCGCCTCCGACCCCGAAACCAGAAACCAGGAACGCCGTATCATTGGGGACCGAGAAAGCCACCTGCTGGGCCGGACACCCACCATCTCTTCTCTCTCAAGGACGTGGAACTACCTACTTCGTATCAACTCGACCACAGCTCAACCATGTGGCATAGCATGGCCGCTTGTCCAGACGCGTGGTCCCAGGCGACCTCACCGTCCACAGATTCTGCTTGGTCATGAAGCCATTGGTGCGCCATCCACTGCAGGTGCATGCCAGTTCATGTTGGACCAGCCTAATCAAGCAAGTCCCTGAGGTGGTTGTACGGCCTGGTGCAGGCTAATGGGTGACATGTCACTGGGAGCCATGCGAACAGCTGGTTGGCACGCTTGGCCCGGCTCTCTGGCAGGTACCTGTCTACCAAGCAGCGACCTGCAATAAGTCTCGACTGCATGTGCCGGTGTGTAGACAAGACGATGCTTATTGGCGCCGACGTCGGGTGTCCCGAAATACCGGATAAAAACCCTCCAACCAATCCGGGCCGCACCCTCCGTTTCCCCCAGGGATCGGTTTTGCGCGATTTAGCGCCCCCCACAGCGCTGGGGACATGGAAGTTGAGTGCTGACACGACACAGACAGAGGGACACACACTGCAGATATCACAACCGAGTCGCCGGCGAAACGTTGCCATCGCAGCATGTCCGTCCGCGTCAATCTACATTACCAGAAACAGCAGTCGACAGACGGCCGCAACCTTGCAACCAACCGAAGAGCCACGAGGACGACTGATGGACCGCTGCGACTGGCGTGATCTGCGCTGCCTTACAAATTGTGCTCCGCAGTGTCTCGTCTCGCCGGCACGACAGTTTTTGTCGGTAAGTCCGTCAGACAAGATGCTTTTCCATGCTGCCAAGCACAGCACCAGCCTCAGCAACAGCTGGTCGTTCGTTCGGGCCCTTGACAGTCTGACAAAACAAAAACTGCCGGTTGAGATCCGATTGCCTGTCAAGAGGATCGACCCAGTTCCTTCGTTTTAAGGGTCTCGTTTTGCAATGCCGTCATGGTGTGGTTTTTGATGCCGATGGATGTGCGGTGGGCAGAGGGCGGCGTCCATTCGCCGTTGTCCAAAACGGAGCTTGTGGACGGGATGGGCCGCTCACTCTAGAATATGGAACGCGCCCCCGCTTTGAGGATTCCACTGGCACCGACGGGCTGGAACCTTGGCTTCCTTGCTGTTGCTTGAAGAAAATCAAAACCGAAGTGGGGCCGAGGTCTTTTTGGAATTCCTTCCACGAGAAGGTCGCATTCAATTATCACACCGCGTCAAAGAAGCAGCAACAAAAGAGTGATGAGTTGGTTTTGGACAAACGCCCGCTGGCCTCCCAACCGAGATAGTGTTGTGTGGTCTAACCTGCTGCGGCAGTCCAACAGTTGGCGGTGGTGGAGGTGCTCGTCCCAGGCTGTCGGGTCCCAGTGGTCTTTCGGCCTGTGTGGTGGCCCGGGTTTTTCACCGCTTCGCTCGCTGCGGGTTCGAGCTGATGAGACAAGCTCCTCTCACCACGTCACCCTGCGGGATTCGAGGGCCGGTGTCAGGCAACTTTTCCATCCCGATGCGACGGCATTTTCGAGCGCCATGCATCACCATCATTCGACCAAACCTGCAGCCATCATCACCCAGCAAAAAAGACGGGCTCAAGGACCGCCCCGAAGCCAGCTTTCACCGTTTATTTTCTCCATTCGAAATGCTACCAGAAGCAAGCAAGCCCCGGCAGTGGTCTAATCCTGCTTTGTTGATGTTGCCCCGATGCACACACAACAGCGATTACCCCTCACTCGGCTTGCCGGAAGCACACGCCGGAACCTCGCCAAGTGACACCCTCTGGACTTGGTTGAACCTGATTTCCATTTCACGCAGCGGTTCACCACATGAAAATACGGCTCTGAGAGCTGCAGAATCGGCCGCAAATCTGGGAACAACACACAGTAATCATGGTTTGCCGTGGCGAAAGATATCAAGCTTTTTTTTTTCATTAAGAAGACGGCAGCAACTGGCATAACTTTCCAGATGGGCTCACGGGGAAGAGAGGACCGGACCCCTCGAGCAGCAAGGGGAACGGGATGATCGAAACGCCCAATGACACTCTTTCGTCCCACCATTCCCCAGGGGAGGGGGGGTGGTCCACCTGCCGAACATTTAGCACTACGGGACCACGGGACGCACTGGCCAGGACGGTGATCTCTCGAGACGAGACGCGCATCATCCGACAACAGCGGAGCCAGGGTTGTACTTGCGGGTAGGTTTCTTTCTTTCTTTTTTTTTTCGTGGTCTTTTTTTTTCTTGTTTGGTTGATCACCAGAAAGTGGGCCGTTATTGAGAATTTGTGATGGTTTTTTTTTTTCGTTTTCTCATGGGGGTTTTTCCAAGGATTACAGATATGTGACTACTGACTCCCAAGACTTTTTGACTACCCATCTCAACCATCTACCTAACAAACCCTTGCCCAATATTTGGTGCCGCGGAGGCAAGTCGATGCTACCCACACCAATTGGAATGGCAGTCTTTTTCTTTCTGAGAAAGCAGCTGCAAGAAGTGCTGTCTGTCTTGCTTCCCCGGCCCCTGTTGTTTTGATCCTGTTTCCTTTTTGCTTGGTACTGTGGACACAGTGGACACAGTGGACACAGTGGACTGCTGGTGATGGACTAATGCGTCTTGATGCAGAAAGGGTTGCAGCTTTCTTTTTATCTAGGGGCTTTTTGCTCACCTTTTTCTAGATCGATGACTGGGATTGAAGCTGGGAGCAAGCCTGTGGTCGCTGCTTCTACTTTTCCGGAAACCTACCGATGTGTGTGTGTGTGTGTGTGTTGACGACTTTTTCGAAAGGGCGAGATTTTAGAGATACACAACTTTTTGTTGTGCTCAAGGTACGGAGTAACGGTAGGTAGCCCACCGGTCGGTTGGGATTGTCAATGATGATGGGTTTGGTTACGTCTGTGTGTTGGTGTCTCTCTCGGGGATGGCACAAGCAGCAAAGTAGGCAAGTACTTTTAGGGTAGGACGACGTGCAGATGGATATCGGTGTCCGGTTGTCGGACGAGGGCTACACACACATGTCATCGTCATAACCTGCTTCTTGGAAGAGGGAGGGTGGCTGCACTTCACCGAAGTCGACAGGAGAGATCAACAACAAACCTGACCAAAAGAAAGAAAATTTTCCCCATACAGCAGAAGTTTTGGGGGGGTAGGTGATTTGGGGGGGGGGGGGGGGGAGGGGCGAAGAGACGGGAAGACCCGCCGGGTGTCAAAATCCTCCCGCTTTTTTCTTTCTCTATCCTGGTTTTTTTTTTTTTTTTTTTTTTGAGAGAGAGAGAGAGGAGGGGGTTGGGTGTGAAATGAGCAGGTGGTATGTGCTCTCTTGTTTTGTGATGGTCGGATGGTCGGAAGGAGGAGTGGACAAGGTCCCGTTTTACATACCTGTTACTTTTTTTTCCCCCGTTTTATTCCCACGTAGCAGCAGCAGCCGTCGTCAGGTTTTGCCCCCCTGGGGGAGGGGGGTTCTTGAGTCAGTGAGGGAGTGAGTGTTCATTACCGCGGTTGATTGACATTACAGACCTCAGGGAATGGGCGTGCCAGCACCACAGGGGGTTAATTACCCCTTTGTGCTAGGTTTGACTGGTCGGTGACAAGGCTCCTCCTGTAGAGAAGCAAGGAAAGGAACAACCTGGCAAAATGGCCTGATTTGGTAGATTGGACGGTCCTCTAAACCAAGCTTTCTATCTAGGGAAGTTTGGCAGTTCAATAGTGGTGGGGGGTTTTGTGTGATAGTGGTTTTGGCTTGGGTTGGGGGGGAGGGGGTTCAAGACGGGGGTTAGGTAATCACATTTCTGTAAAACCCGACAGGCTAACTAGTTCTATGGAGACGGTTGTCGGTGATAACACCATCTATGGGAATCTCCCACCGGCTGGCTGGCCGGGGAACAACGGAAGACTTGAGCCTGTCCGCTCGGAGCGAGCAACAAGTGTGGGAATTTTCAAGGGGCGGCCCGCAGAAGACCGCATGCCTAGCTGGCTGGCTATCCACTGTTTACTGAACCATGGAAGGGATACGTTTCGTGTGGGATATTGGACTACCAGCTCATCACAAAGCTTGTTGTGCTTGTTGTTGGTCCAGGTTTGAGGTAGGGAAGCCATAGCATAGCATAACATGTGTGTATGAACGGGATGGCACGTATCCTGCATGATTTGTACAATGCGTGTTTCTTCCAAGCAACGAAAATCCTATCGGGCCGGTCTCTTCTGCGTGGTGTCGGATATTTGTCTCTGATTTCTGGCTGCAAAACACAACATCCCATACTCGGAATTCGGATATGTGATATATCACTTTTTCACAGTTGCGGTGGGCCATATGTCTCAGTGGAGAAGGGGTGAGACTTGGAGGGTTGTGTTGGGTGGCCGTTGAGAAATTGGAGATTGTTCCGCGTGCATGTCCACACTCTTGAGAACGGTATGAATAAAATCAAGATGACCTGCGGACAAGCAAGCAAGCAAGCAAGTGATCGCTCTGATGTCTATCGAGCATGCCTCGTAATCTACATATACGAAGTTGGGAGCTGGAATGATCGCTCTTATGCTTGATTGCCATCATGAGAGGTGAGATACCTACATGGCCCCTATAGTTTAGACCGGTGGTTTAGAGAAGTGGGCGAGAAAGCAGAGGGTCAACGTTGTTCCTCTGAGCCACTGACATAGCAGAAATGGAAGGGACGTCGGAGTCGGGCGGGGGTTTCTGTCCAAACGGTGCCAGCGATGGGGGAAAATCTGTTGATGCCGTGCTGAAGCTCCATAATGAGCTTTCGGGATGTGATCCGAGAAGGGGATCCGTTTTGGCCGATACTATGGTGTGGATAAAGCACGGGGGATGAGCTTCAAGGGGTGATGACTGACGTGTTGGTCCTTGTTTGATAGTACGGATATTAGTGTAATGTTGATAGGGGAAGCAGGAAGACAGGCTTCTAGTCATGGCGGCAGGCAGCTTTCATAACAGGAGGTTGAAGGTCTGTGCTGTCAAGTGAGACGTTGGATGATGGAGGGACTGCTTGTTCGGCATCACCGGTTGTTGAAGAATCGAATTTCCATATTCTCAATATCGAATGTTTTGGAGTTGAGAATTGAAGGATGGCTTTTTACCTAGGTGCTCGGATAGCTTCCGATATTAAACGTTGCCAAGAAGAGCGCCCCCGTGGGCATCCGGCGGATTCCCGGTCGGGCCACCTGCCAATTGGACGTTGCGACTCTCCCGAACTCACCCACAGCGCAACGGCCGAAGTTGGCGACGCGAAAAAATCTCTCTCTCTCTCTCTCCCCAGAAACACGTCACTCTGGAATCAATTGCCGCGACGACAAGGAAATACCGTTAGAGCCAAGCATCACTGCGATACCACGCACGCTATCCGCACATCTCACTCTCTCACTACTCTCAACGACTGTGCTACCTGAACTTGCACAGCCGAACGAACCCCCTCTTGGCTCCCACGGAAAACTAGGTTTATGCAATCAGGGCTTTCTGAAGTTTCAAACAGCGAGACTCACAAACCCACCGACTCTACCCCGTCCACCGCCTCCCAACATGGCATACGTCGCCCCAGCTCTCAGCCTCGGCCAGGCAGCCAGTCCCCGCGCCGTGCTCGGAGCCCCTCTCCGGGTGCGCGGGGCAGCGAGCTTGACGTCAGCGAGCTCGACCACAAGCTGGACCGACTGAACGTCGCTGGTGTTGAAGTCGATGTTGATACTGCTCCAAGCTATGAGCTGGTCGCCGGCCAGCGCATCTCGGAATATGAAAATGCATCATCAGTGATGCTCTCGAACCGTCAGAGTCCTCGCCCGGCTTCCGACTCGAAGCCCACCAGCAATGGCGTGCCCTTCAAGAGTGCCCAGCTGACTGACTTTCCCAATGGTTGGTTGATACCGTGCCCCCAGCCGTAGTGCCGGCGGCTGACTTTGACCACCGCGTAGAACTCCTGACCCAAGTCCTCTCCCACCTCCATCCCGACTCGCACGGCGCTGTGGCTTTAGTGTCGAAGCGGTTTTATGCGCTTGTTACGACCCCTTATGCCTGGCGGACTGCCTTCCTGCGATACTTCCCTGGGCGTGATGCCTTGGCAGAATCGAAGAAGTCTGGTCAAAAGGAACAGGAGGGCGAATCTCACCATGATGTCATCAGGTCCGAGGTTCGATTCTTCACTCGGCTGACCACGTCTGCCTCGTGGCGCAGCGAGTACTTGTTGCGCACTCGTCTGCTCAGGAGCGTGGTTCGTGGAAAGCCGGGTAGTGGTGGTGTTGGGACGTCTACGAAAGCCAGCCAGAAGAAGTCCGGTGCTGTGTTGACGTACAATTCGAAACTGCCGTGGATGATATCGACCGTTCATGCCAACTTCACTGGTGGCAGGCAAGGACCCAAGGTCATTCATGGCTCTCGCGACCTCGGTATCGCCACGGCCAGCGATCCGACTACGGGTCGACTGGACAAGGTCGGGCTCGACGACCCCTTTTCGTTTCAGCAGTTGGATGAGGTTTTCCCCGACCTTGACTTTTGGGGTCTGGATGACGGCCTGGCTGCGGTTCCAAATGTTTTGGATGTGAGCCAGCAGTATGGATTGGTTGGTGGAGAAGGCTTTCCTGGTGGCCGGGTGTACTTCAAGGGTGCTGGAGACTTGCGTGGCAAGTATCTGGGCCAGGACGATGTCATTATTGACATGGAACCCGAGATTCCCAAGATCCCGGAGCTCATGGAGGCCGTCTCTGCTGTTTGGATCGCCAAGACGCCCAACCCCATGCAGGTGACAAACTCCATGGTTGGCATCATGACTGGTTCTACGCTCGGTGTTGTAACTGCTTACACACTGGGCATTGACTCAACTGGGCCTCGGTTTTCCAAGGGCGACATGACCGCTCGCTGGGTTCTCTGCCCAGGTGTTCCCGTTGTCGACATCAAGGTGGATGATAACTACAGCTTGAAGCGCAAAGCTCTGGGTCGAGTTTGGGCCGTTGCTTTGAACGCGTTGGGTGAGGTATTCTACCTTCGGGATGTTCCCACGCCGCCCCTGGTCAAAGGCAAACTCGAACAGATGGTCAGGCACGCCTGGTACTCTGGTCGGACTGCCTACTGGGAACTCATCGAGGCCACTCGCCGTACGGCTAGACCTGATGAGTTTGATAGGAATGTCGTCCGTGGCTCTTACTCACCCCGATCACCTTGCAATTCTATGAGATTGAACAAAGACCAGATCATTGCTGAGTCCAAGGAAATCGAAAAGTTCTTTCGGTACAAGCCTGAACATTGGCGGAAGGCGTGCCTCGGCTGGGACATGCTGCGCAAGCTCGAGGTCGACTTTGCTGGGGGGGATGAAAACAGAGCTGGGGAAGGCATTTATGTGGTCACCATGGGTCATGGCAGGGGCGAACAGGCATCTGTCCTCAGGCTTGTCCGGGCAGAGAGTCGGCCTCTGGTGACTACGCCTTCAGGACCGACGACACCCCTGGCTCAGCCTTTTCATTCGTCCATTTTCGGTGATCAGGTGGTTCCGAATGGACCGGGCAAAACACCAGTCGGCTCTGGTCTGAACACTCCTCGAACCGAGGAGAATGCCGCAAAACCGGACTCTGAGGAATGGAAGCTCACCGAGTTCACTTTCAAGAGCAATGCCAGTACCGAGATTACGGCGAGCTCCATGGACCTGTCCACCTTTGCGGTCATGGCGCCTTTCGAAGATCCTCTGCATTCTGGCTCGCAGCTCGCTGACCCTCCTGGCACGCCTACTTCTGGGCATGCTTCTGGTGAGATTCCGGGCCGCCGCGCGCGCTTGTTGGCCATTGGCACCAGCACCGGGTCGATTGTGCTGTGGAATGCGCGAGACGCGTCCCCCGTGGTGAAGCCGGTGAGAGTCATTCAGACCGACTCGCCTGAGATCTCCAGTCTGGGTGTGTCGGCGTTGTATGTAGTTCACGGAGGTAGTGACGGGCTCGTGCAAGCATGGGACCCTCTGGCCTCGACGCTTGAGCCCATAAGAACGCTCAACGCCAGACCCTCGGGACGCATTCCACGCCACATTCTCCAATCGAACCCTGCTCTCCAGCACGCCAACTTCTACAAGGTCGGTGCCATTTTTTTGGACCCTGACCCGACGGCCTTGCGTGGTGTCCTTGCGTTTGGTACATTTCTGCGATACTGGACCTACAGCTCTACCAACCAAGTCACTGGACGCAAGCGTCGCCCTCGTCACAATGATGTTCACGGGCGGCTGGCTGGTCGCCGTGATGGTGCCGGTGTTGACTCGTACATTGCGGCTGAAGCGGCAGAGATGCGCAGGGAGCAGGAACACCGCTCCAAGGAACTCGACCGTCTCCGCAAGCGGTTTGGTGTCGGTCTTGCTGAGCTCACCGAGGAGGAAGCGCTGCAGTATGCCCAGATGATCTCGGAAGAGTCGCTTCTTTTGGATGAACAGCGCCGCTTCAGTGCAAGTGACACGGCCAGTGGATCGAATGCCGATTTGGGGTCGTTGGATGGGAGCAGCAGTGGCAGCAGTAGCAGCAGCACTGCTGAGACCATCACCCCTGAACCGAGCATTTCCAATGGTGGTGTTGCCACTGCCGCGTGGGCGAGTTCTTCCTCTGTGGTTTTGGCTCCTTTGCCAGAGGAGACGACGGAGGACGATTTCGAGGCGCAGATGCAGAGGGCGATTAGGTTGTCGCTTTTGGAGAACGGGGGGGGTTCTTCGGGGCAGGTGACTGATTGCTATTCTCCGGTTGGGCAGAATCAGAGTGAGGAGGATCTGGAGATGTATCAAGAGTTTCAGGTGGTGGTTAAGAAACCTAATGGGAGGGGGAAGAAGGATAAGGGGAAGGGGGCTACGAATGGGGGTGGGGGTGGTGGGAGTGGATCGAATGCGATGGTGGATAAGATGTATGGGTATAATGGGGTTAGTGGGGTCAACAGTGTTGTTGACTTGGGCGGTGGTGGTGGTGACGGGGAGATGGATGATGA